GCAGCAGAATCAGATGAGGAAACAGGAACAAGAGCAATTTGCTAGCAATCAGCATACCCAGGAAGAACAGGGTGGCAACATGGAATGTGGCGAGGAGGAGGGGAGCCTCGAAAACGGATTTCGTTAGTCAATGAAAATGAGAAAATTATCTGAAGAAGGAAAAGGTTCGGACCAGAACGAACAGGACACGCACCGGAGCAAAAGATTACAGAACAGCACGGAGGATAAACGGACGGACGGGAGTCAAACAACGGGCACAAAGGAAGATTCACAGCAAGGAAAAGGGGCGAGTACTCACCAAACACCATCGTTGGGTACGGGGCAAGAAACGGACTCCACTGATTCGTCTGGGGGGAGTGTCGCAAAGGGGGTCTCTACGGACGAAGAGGAAGATAGAAGGAAGCATATGCGGAATGCGGAAAACATGACGGATGAGGAAATAAGACAAGCGGAGGAGGATTAGCGGGACTGCTCTAAAGACTCGGATCCAGAGGAATCATCGGAAGGAGATAATATGGAGGAGGAGATCATCACACTTGAGCAGTGGAAGCAGGAGGTAGAACAACTAGAATGGGGGCGAACGGTAGAATGTGAAATCAGACTAGCGCACCACAAACATCTCAGGAGTCTGAAGCACGCAACGCAAGTAAGCGAGGATATTACGTTAGAGAATCGATTTGAGTTGCTGAAAAGGGAAGGGGAGATAAATGAATTTTACGCGGCACAATATGCAAGGAAAGCTCGTACGGTCAAAAATGACATCCATATCCAACATGACGAATACGCTAAGAGCTTTCAATGGCCCAACACCTATCAGAGCAAAGCTAGCAAAGATGGTAATAGGAAACGGAAAGCACAGGCAGAGGACGAGCAGGAAAGCAGAGTAGAACAGGCAACGGACTCACAGGACCGATTGATGAAGGAAGCAAACCAGCAACAAGAGGGAGATGAGCAAAAACAGGAGGAGGATCTGCAAAGGCAAGCAACAGTTCTAGAGGCTTAGGTTAATGCATTAAGGGATGAGAACAGGGAATTGGAGGAGGATACTCTAAATTTGCTAAAAATAGCAAAAGGTCATCTGAAAGACATTGATGCAGCCGCAAAATTGGGGGCAAAGAATGGAGCTAAGGGAAGGGTAATTCTTCCTTGCTGGTGGAATGGAAAGCATTCCGATTGGGAGGTGGCAATTCATCACTCACTCCAATTGATCGTAGCCCCGGAAAATGCATGTACAGGGGGAGATCTGAAGAACATCATTGGGGAAGGCTTACCGACTCGAGCTTACGTTCTCGGCGATAGGAGGAAGGAAGTGACAGAGGGATCTGAAGGGGGAGAGGGGGAGGACTTTAGACCACTACTTATGCATGTGGAGGAAAAGGTTATCTTGAGGGAAGGCCTGATATGGATGCCATGGCAGGTTGTGGAAACTATCCCTTATGGTTTGTTAGGGGGTATGGAATCGCCAGAATGGGTGGCGCGCTGCGTGGCGGTGGCAGTCAAGGTGGAAGCTTTTGCATGGAAGCCTGATTACCTGGACAAGAGGGTGTCTCCCTTTTCAACAGTCATCAACATAGAGGGAGTGGGTGCTTAAAGCCCATAAACATGTGAAATATAGACATAGGGCGATAGGGGAAAGGTTATGGCGGAGGGGAGAGCAGGGAGGTTGGTAAAGAAGGCAAGGAAGGATCAGGCAGGCCATACTCTTTCGGAGTTAAGTATCATGTCGTGGAACGTAAATGGAATGGTGGGAATATTGGAAAACCAGGATAAGTGGCATAATGTCACAAAATATACAGACTGGTTTGGTTCATCCCCGCCGGACTTTATCTATTTTCAAGAAACGCACCTCTCAGAAACTCAGGAGCATCAGCAAATTCAGAGCAAGATTATACAAAAGTTCCAGAGAGTAAAGGACGCTTGGTGGGCACCTGCGGCCAGATCACACTCAACAGGAGTGGTCATTTTACAGAATAATAGATCGCGAGCAGTAGGAAAAATTAGAGTAATTAGCACTGCAGTGGACGAAGTAGAGGGAAGATGGGGGACGAGGTATTAGGACAGGATCCGGCAACGGGAGTTGTGACGCTGTTATACAAGAAAGGGAACCCTTCAGACATTCGGAATTATAGGTCGATTACGTTGCTAACACTAACGCATAAGATAATAGCCAAAGCATTAGTAAACAGACTCACTCCTCTCACAGCGAGTTGCTTTCATATGGACCAGATAGGATTTATACCGAGAAGGTTCATCTTAGACAATGTCATGACGCTAACCGAAATAGTAAGGTATATAAGAGACGAGCGTATTAATGCCGCAATACTGTTCTTCGACTTTGAGAAGGCTTATGACCAGGTCAGCTGGCCCTTTCTGCAGCAATGCATGGAAAAGATGGGAGTGGGTCCAAATTTTAGGAAAAGGATTAGGGTTTTATATAACAATGCGCACGGCCAAGTGCAAGTTAATGGTTATTTGTCAGCAGCCTATAGAATGTCGAGATCAGTTAGGCAAGGGGACCCGTTAGCGGCGCCGATATTCCTGTTCATAATGGAGGCGATTGCTTCCTTCTTGCGTAAGGATCCTTCAATTCAAAGACTGGTGGCAGAACAGGATCAACAAGGACACACCGTTCACCTTCCCACAATTATGATGTTTGCTGACGATCTATCAGTGCTCATTAGAGCATCGGACTCATCATTTCAAGCATTAATAAGAGCAATGGAGGCTTTTCAATTAGCGTTAGAAATGAAAATAAACTGGTGGAAAACGGAGGGTTGGTGGTTGGGAGAACAAGGGCAAGCGAGTCATCTCCCGGATGAATGCCCGGAGGGTCTACATTGGACGTCTCCACAAACCCCTATTAGATATCTAGGAGTAAAAATTACAGAGGCAGGTACACATCACTCCAAGGCGGCAGATCTAATGGCTAACATCCTGACTAAGTTGGGGGCTTGGTCGAATGTCTACACTTCTATATTTGGGAGGGCACTCATATTAAATGCATCTATCTTTTCTTTGATCTGGTATGCAGGGTCAATTTGGACCCCGCCAAATACCACGTTAACATTGCTGAGAAGAAGGGCAGCGGCCTACTTATGGACATCTAATGCAATGTTTGTACACTTCATATCCAAGGTGGCATGGAAACATGCTACTAGACCGAAGCAGCAGGGAGGACCGGGGATTTTAGACCCGGATCACCAACTCAAAGCACTTCAGACGAAATGGGTAATTAAGTTGATTACCCACCATAACTTGCCTTGGACGTCCCTAGCGCTCTATCAGATTAGGAAATTGGCTAAATATAGAACCCCTTTGAATATGTCGGGCCAGTTCTGGGTCATGTGTAGCACATGGGCCAAAGGGGTTTCAGAAGTTAATGACAGGGGTGATAATGACGAAGGAGTAAGGAAGGCATCATATTGGGCTCAACTAATGAAACTATGGAAGGAAATCTTCCCGGCCAGGGTCAGTGAGCCTCACACAAGAGAAGAAGTTTTGAGACAGTCATTATTTTGTAACTCAAGTATTAGGGATGCGCAGGGGAAAATAGGTGGAAAACAACAAAAGAGCTAAGGGAGCAATTAAGGGGTTGTCACAGGCTGTCGGAGAATCTGGAAATAGTCCTAACAGCCATTCCACAAAGGTGGGGGGATCTTCTGAGAAGGGAAGCACAGTGGGGGCTAGGGGACTGGGCCACATGGCAAGATGAAAGTGACCCAACAGAAGTCTTCAGAATATGGGATCAGGAGCCTGCAAGGCCGGAATGGCTTCAGGCAGACAAATATACTGTCATGCATCAAGGAGCCACCACCTCTTTACTAGCTAAGAACTCCAAAGTGCCTATAACCATTCTCAAAAGTCATTTGCGAAAGGTAAGAGTAGTTGAGGCAGACGAATTCACAGTTTTCTGTCCAAATACTCCACTGGATGATCTGGAAGTCGACCCGGGGGAATGGGCATGGGAGATCAGAAGTGGCTCTATGGGAACAGAAAAGAGAATTAATATCCTGCATTACACCACTAGGATAGGATATAGGTTGAGAAGAAGATCCTTTTCTCTCACGCCTCAACTATTGAAGAGGTGGGAAAAGAGGGTGGGGATACCACCGGGACAACTATCTACGTTCCCTTGGCAGGCGATTAACGCAGTCCGCTTGGGAAAAGTCAGAGGCATGCAGTGGCTAATAGCCCATGTGGCTCTGCCGGTCAATGAATGGTTAAATGAGAGAAGGAGACGGTCAAGGAGGGACCCAGCGAATGCACAGTGTAGAGTGGGTCAGGGCGGCATGTCAGAATCAATGCAGCACTGCCTGTTGGAATGTACGGGAGCAGACATCATTTGGGAAGAAGCCAGGAGTATATGGGGTCAGATCTCGAAGATTCCATGCTTAGACACTAAAATTGCCTTCTTGTTGGGGATCCACATCCCGAGGCAGTGGAAGTCGTTCGAGAAGCTTATGTTTCAATTGATACAACAATATAGCCTGTGGACTATTTGGAAGAAGAGGCGTCAAATTACTATTGAAGGGAGTACAATGCATATACAGGAGGCAAGGGAGATATTATTCAGGCTTGGCAAAATGCATCTTTGGGATATTCAAAACAGGTATGGGTGAACTGGTGGTTTAACTCTAAAAAAATCTATGAACTGTCGGATAGCATCCGAGATTAAAAAACACTGAGCAGATAACCTTGTAAGGGTTTTTGCTCCGACACCGCAACTGTTGGAAAGTCAGTCCAGCATCCCATAGAGTAACCCGGACAATGGAACTCCAAGTGAAGTATTGTCACAGCCCCTCTTTCTTGTCCTTATCTCCCCCTCTGCCTACGTTTCAACAGGCGCTTCTCTATGACTATACATAAGCTGGAAAATGGGTTCAGCATCTCCAGGCACTCCAGCGTCCCTTATGTGTTACACAGGTTGCGTTCTGAACATTGAGCATCACGACATTCTGAACGTTGTGCTAGGATTCTTGTTTGTTGTGCTTCTTTTGCAGGCAATAAAGAGGCTGAGTGTAGAGGATATGGACGTAACAGTGGAACCTGGTATTGGCTGGATAGAGCTCAATGCATTCCTGCGTCCATATGGGCTCTTCTTTCCTCTGGATCCAGGTACAGACAGTCTGTTGCAGGGGCATGAGGCTATGAGCACGGGCTCTGTTTTTTTTTTTTGTTTTTTTTTGTTAGCATGAACTCTTGGTCCTTGATTTCTTGAATTTTCATTCCAGGTGCAGATTCTGTGCCTTTCCCGGAATAGATAGAAGCACTAGGTGAGCTTTCGGAGATATATTGGACCAGGCCAATATGGTTGTTGAGGACTTGCCTGATTTTCCTTCCCTCCCTTAAAAAAAGGCCAAGAGCTGATCACTCCACTTTCTTTAGTTTGTTTTACTTAAATTGGAGCATTAGGGTAGCTCCATGAGGTTCAAAATACGAAAAATGGGAATTTGATGTCTTCCACATGAAGGGAAAGGATTATGGATATTGCGTCCTGACTCGTGATGGTTTTGTTACCGTTTTTCCGCGTGTGTGTGTGTGTTCGTGCTTTTGATGTGTGTGTGTGAATGTGTAGAGGGGTTGTCGTGAGTAGTTGCATACTATGGCCTGTTGCTTGGGAAAAACGACGGGTCTAGCCCTGGATCTGATCCAGGGGTCCAATTCGTCACTGGATCTGATCCAGGGGTCAAATTCATCCTCTGTACTGCAACCGAACTGTGAGGGCGGAGTAGCCCAGTTCAGGGCTGGACTTGTCAGAGGGCATTTTGCACAGGGTTAGCTTCATCCATTTCCCCCCGTTTTGCCAGCATTTTTTGCATCTTCTGGGTGTGGGATGCAAAGGTTCCCCCTGACGCATCGGATTGATGACAGTGCAGCGTTTCGAGTGAATCTGATGCAGAAGCAGTCGATAGTCTGTATCTCTGAGTATGTAGCTTGTCTAATGTGCTTTACGGATAAGGAATGACGGGGACTAATGCTGGTATATACTGTTCTTGAACTCGTTTGGACTTTGACTCTGTGAAGTCTATTGCTATTGCAGTTCGCAAAGATTCGTTTGACAATGATACACATGCTTCCAATTTCTGGCACATTCACACAATGTTGCATCATGACTCTCATCCTCCCTCCTTCAGGCCCTGGCGCTACGATTGGCGGGATGTGTGCAACCCGATGCTCCGGTTCGCTTGCCGTGAGGTGAGGACCATCTTCTCCACCACCTTGGCCCTAACATCCCCGTATGCTGGACTCTTCGGTCAGCTGATAAGTGCTTGAAGGTAGCGATTCTCTCAAAACAACTACATAGTACTTTTTTTTTTTTTTCCCAAATACAACAGAACCTTAGGGTTCTGGCTCCATGTCCATTCTGGGAAGAAAATAGACTGCCATATGAACCATCTCTAGAGCGCTGTACCGAAATGTTATCACCACTGGGGTGAGCTGTTGCAGACCAAATCCAGCAGCAGCTAAACACCCTTTCTCTCGATCAATCCCCATCGTCATCTGCCCATAGAGAGGGAATAATGACTGGGAAAACCCAAGAAACCTGCTCAATGTCGCTCTGAGATGACCCAACTGAGATTCAGCTAGCGTGGTTCACATGCCTTGTGCCGTGAGGATTATGAAAGAATAGCCTATGCGAGTTTTTGTCTTCATGCATATGATGACAGTCAATACTGCACTCATGTCCAATACTGCAGTCATGAAGGAAATTGAAACGGTATTCACCTGTTAGCAGTAGCGACTGCAGATCCCAGGGCTCGATACCTAGTACTTACCTTACCTGTGTACAGTACCCATGTCGACCCCGAGAGTTGAACCCGTGACCTGTGTATTCGCAACAGTCGGTAGGCTGTCGTAGGTCTGTAGGTTGTAGGGGTTCGATCTGTAGACCCGCTGGATAGAGGCCTTAGTGAGTCCTAGAGGTTGTAGCTGTAGGTGTCCTGAAAGGTCAAGGTCGTAGCTGCTACAGACATGAAAGGTCAAGGTCGTAGCTGCTACAGTGTTCGAAAGGCCAAGCCCACAGACTTCCGGAAAGTCCGGAAGTGGCCTTTCGAAGTTGTCTCACGTTTGGACAGAGGCAAGTGGGCAAGTGGTGAGCCCAACTGCGTTACGTCGGCAGTGTGACTGCATCGAGTTGGCAGTGCAAACCGATGCAGTCAGCGGTACCGGTCCCAGTCAGTCACAGTCCAGTCAAGCAAGTACCGTGTGGGACTGTGTGCACCCAGGGCATGGGAAAAGGGCAGACCAACGAGTTACAGAAGTATATAAATCAAGAGGCAGCGCCCAGCCATTCATTCATTCCTGCGTAAGCCATGCGGAAGTGCTGCTTGAGCGACTTGTGCGAGGTGGTCTGCAGAGCGCCCGAAGACGAATGGGCAGAGTAGAGGTTGCATAGCCATAGCCAGCAGGGTTGAGCGGCCTTAGCTGCCATAGGTGGTAGGCGAGTGTAGTGTGTGCGTGTGTGTGATACAATGTGTTGCGTGTGGGATATCCAGGGTGATCCTGAGTTGAGTGTGTGTGAACAGCGGAGTTGAGCACAGTGACGAACAGAGAGTTGTACAGGCGCTGATGCGCCATAGCCTGTTGAAGCGCGCATGTATCTGAACTGTGTTTCCGACTTCCATATCTCTGAGCTTTGAGTGGGCGCTGAGCGCCAGTGTGACTTGTCATCTGTTTGCATGCATGCAAACATTGCAAAGTGGAAAAGAAAGCAAGTCTAATTGCAAAATGCCTTCTGCACTGATTAAGGGTCAAGTGGGATTAACGCTGCTGGCTCTACAAACAGAGCTTCGAAGGCGCGGGTTCCCGGAAGAGTACTTTGAAGGTAGGGTGAGACAATTTTCGGAGGCTAAGAACTGTGAGTGGGACAATTGGGTGCAGGTGCTGTGCAAGGGACAGACCGGACCCGGAGGACACATGCACCCGGTGTCAGAGGGGTCTCAGAAGGACCGAACAACAGAACCGACACAGCGGACATGAAACGGTTTTCACCTTTACGGTAGAGCAGATGCAGTTCCCAGAGCTCGATCCCTAGACCTCGCCCGCACCCATGTACAGTATCAGTTGACCTGTGTCTGCTTGAACCCGCGGCCTGTGTCTTGACAGTCGCCTATTTGCTTGCTGTAGGTAGTGTGGTCGCCGCGTCTCAAACAGTAGGTCTGTAGATTTGAAGTCTTAGTAGTGGTAGAAGTCATAGCTGCTACAGTACCAAAAGGTCAAGGTCATAGCTGCCACAGTACAGAAGGGTCAAGTCCACAGCCTTCCGGAAGGTCAGGAAGTGGCCTTTCGTAGTGTGGGGATGCAGTCCGTAGGCAAGTGGGCAAGTGGGCAGTCTAGCCTAGCCCAGTCCACGGTACCCAGTCCCGGTTGCACTTTGTCAAGTCATCAAGTACCAGGTGGGACTGTGTGCACCCCGGGCCCAGGGTCCAAGGGCAGACCTTTGACAATCCGAAGTATAAATCAAGAGGCAGCGTCAAGTCATGGATTCATTCTGCCTGTGAGCCGTGCGGAAGCGCTGTCGGAGTGTGGTGTGTATGGAGGTCTGCAGGTGCCCGTTGCAGAAGAGGGCTAAGAGGAGGAAGTCGGCCATAGCCGAGCTTGTTAGTAGGGAGGAGGAAGACGGCGGCCATAGCCGCCACGTCAGAGAGTGAGTAGGTGTTAGTGTGTGTATGAGTGAGTGTTAGTGTGTGTATGAGTGAGTGTTAGTGTGTGTATACGAGTGTGTTGTGTATGTGTGTGCAGGACATCCAGGGAGATCCAGAGTGTGTGTACGAACGAGTTGCTGGGAGTACAGCGTTCGGCCATAGCCGAACGAGACAAGTTTGAATCTGAGCTGTGTTCATGGCTTCGATATCTCTGAGCTTTGTGTGGGCGCGAGTCGCCAGCTTGATCGTCATCTGCTCGTACGCATGCTGAATGTCGAAGTCAACTAGGCTGATTGCACTAAGGCTGTCGGAGCGCCAGAAAAGGCAAATGTGCAAAAGAGCGGGAAAAGGGTTTTTCCGAAAAGGAATTAAGGAAAACGTGGATAAAAACACTGGGATTCAGGTTTGAAACTTTGAGCGGGGTTAGGAATTGACCGTCGAAATTGAGTGTTTTAAACTGTTTTTTGGAGATCGGTAACTTTGATTTTTGAACCAAGGGCGGGGAAGAGGAAATAGGAATTCAATTTTTTGAAGTTTCGAGCGGGGGAAGGCAGAACTGTAGGGATAGACTAGGTATTTAAGACCAACGGATGGATGACGAACTCACCTTTCCGGAGCCAGGCCCTGAAGACGCTGTACTGGCAGCAGCAGAAACGTGCCTGGCATTTTGCCATGATGCGGTAGGAAGGACACTGCGTCGCGTATCACCCAAGACCTTCACGTTACTTTGATTCGAGTTCATTATGTGCCTCACGATTTTCTAACGATTTTTCTCAGAGGGAAACAAGAGTTGGCTTCATATCTGTCTTGGTCATCGTGAGTCTATTTGTGTCAAATTTGTGTGTTGAATTCGTGTCCAGTCCGTGTGATGAATGAATATTCGTGTGTTGAATTTGTGTCCAGTCCGTGTGATGAATGAGTGCATACGTGTGAGGTGAATGTTCTGGATCACGTGAGATGGTTAAAGGACTAGGTGGGCAAGTGCACTAGTATCGGGAAAGACAGGAGGCAGGAAGAATCGGGGGTAACTGAGGGAGACAAGCTGACAACCAACGGATCGTCTGATCCTTGCACGTGCAGAGCGTGAAGCTGAACCCGTACCATATGGTTCTTCGAGCATGTCCAATTTGTAGATGGGCTGGAACGGCAATGCCTCCCTACAGTTGCGGTCTGCGTGCCTCTGTGTTCCTAGCATGTAGGAGCCACGTAGCCTGTGACATCTGTCTACACCACGCCATTCGGTGCAGCAACTGCGACTGCGAGAATTGGATGTGGTGTTTCCACAGTCCACACACGAACCGGTTTGCAGGGGTAGCCACTTACCATAGGCAACAGCTGCTCCTCAACCCCAAATCTTGTGCCATTCCAGAGTAGACTGCTCCAGGGGTGAGTATTTAGAACCCAGTGAAGTTCGTTATATCTCTGTTATGTCCTTTGCTGTTCCACTTTCTCCCCTACCCCTTCTTCCTCTCCTGCCCCTCACTCCCTATAGAACTCCGCCTCGTACCCCTTCCCTTCCTTCCTCCCCTTGTGTACTACTAGGAAATGTATGTGACCGAGCATCATTAAGAGAACAGACAAGATATGAGCTGAAGATCTAACGAAAAGTGAACAGGAGTATACCTCCCGCTTTACTCTGCCTCCTTTCATGATGTGCAAGTGTATCGTTAAGGCACACGGGGGTGTGGGCAGCCGACGCTCAACCACAATCGATGTGGGCAGCCTTGTACGCGAGAGGCATAGTAAAAGGGGAGCTGCAAGAATAAATGAATAGGGCACCCCTAACAAAACCAAAGTAAACATAGCTGACAAAGGGATTTCAATTTTCAACGGATTTATTGTGCTCCATGTTACTTGCTATAGAGGTAAAACCGTAAAACTGTTTCATTGCTGGAATGTCTCAACTGAAGTGCTTTTCGTTGTCTGCAGTAGGACTACTAAAGCTGCTTCGATTTTGGTTCTGCTCGGCTGGGTGGACTAGAGGGTGTTGTGGTGAACATCCAAAACACACACACAACACATGGGGGTGTGGGCAGCCGGTGCACGTGAGGGGCATTTTAAAAGGGGGGCTGCAAGAACAAACGGAAAGGGGTACCCCTAAGAAAGCCAAAGTAAATATAGTTGACAAAGGGATTTCAATTTTCAACGGATTTGTTATGCTCCATGTTATTTGCTATAGAGGTAGAACTGTTTCATTGTTGGAATGTCTCAACTCAAGTGCGCTTCGTTGTCTGCAGTAGGACTACTAAAGCTGCTTCGGTTTTGGTTCTACTCATCTGGGTGGATTAGGGGCTGTTCTTGTCAATATCGACAACACACACAGAAAACACAGAGCACAGTCAGGCCTTTGTTTGGGTATACTCTTTGTTGGGTGGTTCAGGATAAGAGAAGAATAAAAAGAGTAGTTGCATGCTGACTTGTGACTTTTGTTGCTGGGTCCAGGTTAGTATCTTGTTGCCCGATCCCCTTCTTCAATGATGTGTAACTGTGCCTTTCAGGTAGATGGGTGTCTGGAAAACGAATGACTTAACGACATGCATGACCATGCGGATGAATATCTGTGAGTGAGAACTGAAAAAGAGTTGGATTTCTGTGGCTGCCATCTGTCTGTCATAGGTATGGGACTATGCGCGATAACGTGATTTCCATCAAGGTATGGATAAGCAAAGAAGTAGCATAAGATTTGAGCGGATCTGCACATTTTTTATATGTTATCATGTGGACTGTTGATGATGAGGACGCGTCCATGTTTATTCGAACTCGGCAACACTATTACGCATTATTTGTCCATCAATCCGGCAATTTTACGTGATAACGACCGGAGCAGACATTTTTCATGAGATGGAAACACTGGCAATTGGTCATCGAAAAAAACTATTGATCCTAACTTTTCAAATTGACCTGTGAGTCTGTAGTCGCTTAAATCTCAATCTTGTACTGAGGAGCGTACAGAAATCGTGGTACGTGGAGCATGAAAGTACAGTAAAAAGTGTGTTTATTACTGTTAAAAGTTACTAAGATTGGTCCATTTAACCCATCTGGGGCAAGCATGTCTCGCGATTGATCTTTTTCTTTTCTTTTCTTTTGTTTCTTGTGTTTTTCTCAACTGGGGACCAGCTTTTCTATCGTTCTTGGGTGTTTTAACGACAGTTATTGGTGGTGCTGGTCGTGGCGGAGGGCAGCCTCAGAGAGAGGGGCTTTGGATGGGTTTTGCGCTGTTTGCCTAACACTTGAAATTCCTTTTTTGAGTTCCTTCTTCTCTTCCAACCCCTCTCCCCCCCCTCCCTCTCCTAGAGATCTGATGGTCTTGACTGATCGTCAAAAACTGACAATCCTATGCCCTGATGTGGCACACTGGATTGGTGGCAGGCAGTCACTGCAAATGGAGATGTTGTGAAAACAGCTTCGCGTGCACGGAAAAGTTCTGCTGGGTAAGCTTCTATTCCCTGGAGAATGTGCAGTTAGTTGCAGAGGGACAAGTTTCAGCAGCTCCCGATAAGTACATTAAGAGTGTTTAGAAAGGGGATTCCCCAAGGGTGGAACACATGACTACCACCTTTTTTCGGAGGCCACATGGTATTGATGTTACTCGTCAGTACATTAGTTCCATTGAAAAGGGATGAGGTGTCACAAAGGAAGTTGGATCAGCTGGGAAGCTACATATTGTCTTCTGTTATTCTGTGAATTCCTAGTGTGCTTGGATCTGGTTTAACAGGGAAAGTTTTGGTCTTCATTTGACTCAGCAATTTCACTGTGGTTCTGCCCATTCTGCCATGGTTTGGTTTGGGTTGGTTTGGGTTGGGTTGGGGTTGGGGTTGGGTTTGGGTTGGGTTGGG